AATAACTGCCATCCTTCACACATCAAAAGATTACGAAATTCAAATAGCATAATACAGAATTTGTTATTTAATTACCATAAATCTCCTTTGCTATTTCATTAAAGATACGAACCAAATCTCTTCGAACATCATAATCGCTTGGTTTAGGGCGAAGATCCACATAAACCTCATAAAGTAATACTTCAAATGCCGATAATTGGTCTAAGGTTGTATATTTGCTCCGCTGCTTCTGTTCACGCTGCTGTGCTTTCTTACGCAGAACTGATATCAAAGTTATATTAGTTTAAAGTATCGATAAATTCCTCACAACAGGAGCAGTAACTCCATCATAAATAGGAGCTCAGCCAACACAACACAAGCTGTAGAGTTTTCACAAAAAGGTTATGAGCAATTTCACAAAATTATCTAAAGACAGGCTTTTTCATCTGTGAAAATAAAGATGCAAAACAGTGAAATGGTGTACTAACCTTCCAAAGATAAAACCATGGTATTAAAGATGAGTCCAACCTTTACTCGATCACTAATTCACAACTGAAAAAAAAAATCACTTCAAAAAAGTGTATGGTAACTACTTTGAGATCCAGAGGCAACATCAGATATATATTTTCTGATTCATCCTTCTTATAATAAAGATGGAGGGAAACAGAGTAGTAAAATATAACTACTATTTCTGATTTTACATTGACTATCTTATTTTGGGGAGGGGTTTCATCTTATATCTGTTGCTCCACTAGCCCAAAACTGTGGTTAAGCCAGAGTCAGAGAGTTGCGATGGCAAATGTCCATCTAATACCTCTAAATCATCTTCCATCTTTAATCTGCATCATAACTTGGTTTAAATACCCAATTAACAGCTCGTATTCAACTTCTTTAGATATCCAATGATAGCTTAGTTTTCATTAACAAATATTACTACTTTTTTCAACCAAAAACTACAGAAACGAAATTCTGCTTATTTTGATGTAAATCTCACACGTATAACTACAAAAGCCAGCCAATTGAAGCTTGTTTCCACTTCTCAATACCCGACTGATCCGCTTACGTTTCACTTTAAGCAAGATTTAAATTGTTAAACCCAAAAAATAGTACATAGATCTTGATATAGAATCCGACTTTAGATACAGTTCTCAAATGTATAAACGAAATCACGAAGCAAGTGAAGTATACAGTTCTGGTCCTTAAGCCATAGAAGCCAAAAATAAAAAGAAAAAAGGTTACCTTCAACTTCAAGCAATAATTCGGTCGCTGGCCGTCGGTTNTTTTTTTTATTTTTTTTTTACTTCGGGTGATTTACAGCTTGTTTGGATGGTTACATTTATAATGTATCGTATTTGATAATGTTCGGATATATTGTGTCATTTGTAATCCTTTTATGATAATACGTACCAGCAATATGGATACCAGCAATATTGAGAATAAACTTACAATATTATAAAGATAAATTATAATACGAGATAAAATTACTATATAAAAAAGTAGGTAAATAATAAAATAAAATTATTTAACAATAATAAAGGGTGAGATTGAGAGAAAAAGATAAGGTAACAACACGATCACACCAAATCGGTCGTTACATAAAGTGACACATTTCGTCATTACATAACGGCGGATTTAACGATACGATACAATAAAATTTAAGTAACAATCTAAACGAACATCGTATTTAAAGTAACAATACGATACAATACAATAGGTAACAACTATCCGAACAAGCTGTTAGGATCCGTTTGTCCATAAAAAAAAATTCCTTTTTTTCAAAAATATGTTTTGTCCATAAAGCTTTACAAGTTTTTTGAAATTTTTCGAAAGTGAATCTATCTATCTGTGTATCTATCTATCTATATCTACATCTATATCTATCTATATCTATATTATTATAAAAGCACGAATATTTCGTGTTAAATGTTGAACGACTAAAATATACTCGAAATATTAATTGACTATTTTAACCTTCATAAATTAAACTAAGCTTCATTGCATCTTGGACAAAATTGTAAGAATAACTAACTGAATTCCTAATATTGAGGACTTTCAATTCAAGTATGAATATACTACTTTGACTTTCCAGTTATAGATTTTTGCTAACATCAAACATGAAAAGGATTATACTTACAACTTTGTAATTATGTGCGACGGCTAAACAAGTCAAGTTGTATGGAATTAGATTGAGCTTTTTATATAAAACTTATTGGTATAAATTTGCTTCCTAATATTGATGTACTACTCCTTTATGCCTAGATGACCACTCCTGCACCCCACCACCATACTACTTGGTACGTTTCCGTCGTTAGCATTAAGCATAGCTGCAAATCTTCTTCATAATTGTTTTCCTACATAGATAGATCTATATCTTCTGACCAATTTAGTTGTAACACACTAGATCCATGTTGGGTGGCATAATTTAATGGTTAGACGTTCTTAATGTTGTATTATTTCTTCTTTAATTTTTCAGTTCTGGACTTCTGGGTTCACGTCCTATTTTAATTTTTTTTTTTTTTTTTTTTTTTTTTAAAAACATTCTTGTGGTCAAAATTCAGGAACCAAAATTTGGCCACTCAAGGGTTGGGATTTTGCTGAGAATCAGAAGTTACACCTGTTGCAGNTTATCACATTTTTATAAAAATCAGATTTATAAAGAAATAAAGTATAGTGAGTTCGCATTCCGTCGTGAGATAGTCCCCGCAGTGACATTGCTATATATTTTATGTACGCGTTGGATGTGAAAAATCAAGGTGAATGATACCATCAATGAAAGATTGACATTGATTATCTAGAGTCATTTATTTGGTACTAAATGAGAGGTGTAACCTATAAATTTATATTCCTTATGAAATTATTAGTACGTTGTTGCGGGAGTTGTGCAATATTATTATTAATAGACAAGTAGATGTATAATAAATGAATAAATGACAAACATAATCTTTACACTACAGAAATCAAGCGCCAGACCCAATTAGTATTTAGTAGTTATAGTACTTGGTGCAATTGTTGGAACATGTATTTGCACTCATCTTTGCTTCTCTTACAATATTCTTGTAGATGAGACTATGAAGATCCACGTACCATATGTTAGAAGCTTTGGGTTGGTCAAAGATTTGAAGGTATATGTTGTATTTGGTGATTGGTCGATGCAATTTATCTTGAGAGAGAATGTACGAGTACTTAACTATATTTATAGCTTATTTGGCGAAACTTCTAAAATCAAACTGTTTTTCTCAAAAGGTTTTTTAAAAAAAATATTTTTGGTGAGAAGCAATTTGTGTTTGACTAATTAATTTGAAAAGCACTTTTGAGCAATAATTAGTGTTTGACCAAACTTTTGAAAATTGCTTCTTAGAAAAGTGCTTTTTGAGAAAAACTATTTTTTTCTGCTTCTCAAAAACTGTTTCTGCTTCTCCTCAAAAGTATTTTTTTCCATCTAAAAACTTGGTCAAACACCTCAATTTTTTGTCAAAAACACTTTTGACCCAAAAAGGCATGTTTAGCCCCCCAAAAGTTTGGCCAAACATGCTATTAATCAAAGTTATAGTTAATGACTTTTTGTAATTTTAAGAGAAAGAAAGTAGGAGTAGATAATTTAATTTATATTTAATAACTGATTGTTTATGTATTCTTGTGCACATAATGTTTTATGGTATGATTTGTTATTGGTGTATTAATTGGTTTATTACGTGAAAGAGGAGGTAAATTTATTAGTAACTGACGCTAAATATGCTATTGGGAATATAACGGTTGAAGTTGTTCTTAGATGCTAGAAGTTTATCATAAATAATTGAGTTGGTTTGGATGCGCCTTTGCTAAATTAACTTAGAGTTTAAAGTCCTAATTATTAGGAAAACTCTTTAATTATTACAATAATTTTTGTCAGCGTCAAATTATCTCTTTAAAGAAATAATTTTGGTGAAATATTTTTGTCCATTTTATTGTCAAATCTACATTAACCTATGGTTAGAAAAGCAATGCAACATTGTGGGTCATGAAAAGCCAACATTTTTATTAGGATGAAGCTGTGGAAGAGAATACAGCTTCATTAGTGTTTGTATTTGTAATATTGGCTTGGTATTGCATGTGATTGTTGTTGCGAGAGGTTTTCTCCGTAAAGATAAATTAAGGATATTTATTTTTGAAGTTTTGCTATGTATTCTATCGTACTAAAATCATTAAAAACACCAATTCATTACTTTGATTTTAAAAGTTCGATTACAAGATCGTAAATATGAGTGAAACATGCAACAAACCGCCGACCGTGAACTCCTACAAAATTGCTTCGCTTCTAATTTTGGTATGAATCAAATATAAATTAATTAACTTTAGATTTGATCACACCTATAAGATAATCCTAGACCATCCCAATTTCAAGTATGAACGATTTTACATGATAATTCACAATTAATTTTATAATATAAAAAAACTGATTATCTTATGTTTCAAAAAAGATAATAATTTGGTTGGATAATATTATAAAATTAAAAACTTCTTCCTAATCTATATGGAATTATAATATCAATCTCAAGTGTCCTTATTCTGAAGTTACCGCCATACCAATTATACATGAATAAATACTTTTAACCACC